GTAGAAAACCCTATGGAGCACTGTTCTGTTCTGACACACTTGGGATCACCATGCATGAAAGTCAGTTCATTGGCAACTGGGTGTTGTTGCTGTGTGTGTGTGTGTGTGTGTGTGTGTGTGTGTGTGTGTGTGCACGTGTGTTCTAGAGTAAGTTAACCAAGGGTAAATAGAATAATCCTGCTACCGGGCTGCAGTCCTTACATGCATAGGTTTATTCCAAACAAGTGTGTTCACCATGTCTCAGCTCAGGAGGCAGCTGCAGGCAGTTCTCTCCATCATGCCCTGTCTTAGTCTCATCAGGGTGTGTCTTCCAGAAAGAACGGTCCAGACAACTCTGGCTTCAGAAGGCATCTGCTGGGCCAGTTTAACTCACACCCAGGTCAGCTCCGCAGGTTATGGAGACTGTATTTTGGGAGCCCAAAGAGGTCACCGTGGTAGATTTTCTCAGAGTATACCGGATGATCGCACACAAGGAAGAAATGTTAAGGCAATGGAGACATGCACCAGTGGGGAAAGGACAGCAAAGATTACACGGGGAAGGTTTTTTCCCCCTTCACTAATGTGCCTGCTCGTTCCTTGCGCGCAGCCAGGCTGTCCTAGGAGAATTTCATTGAGAAACCTAACCCATCCACCCTCCAGCCTGATCCTGCCTCCTCAGACTGGTTCTTTCCCTCAAACTCAAAGAACACCTGGAAAGAGCACAATATGGGTCCCTGGAGGATGCCCAAAACGCCGGTTTGATGTGGTGCGATGGAAGGGCTTAGAGAAGGGTTAGAGAAATGGAAACATGGCCATGTTGACCAACGACGGCTTCACAGGGTGACGGTTTTGTAGAACACGTTTCTGGGAGGCGGTGGCAGTCCTCGGTGGAGGTGTGGACTGTCCACAAGGCTGCACAGTAGACTAGGAGCGCGGCTGCCCCTGCGAGGTGGACAGGGAGTGTGGCCAGAGCGATGAGGGTGGAGGCAGACTTTGTAAATATGTGACCCTTCCGAAACAGGGAGGAGTTCCACTGTCCCTCTCTGCCCTTTCCGCGCGCCTTGCAGGCAGGCTGCAGTGCCACCAGGCTGCCTGGCGATGGACAGACGATCGCCAGCGAGGTCTCCCTGCAGGAGCCCCCGTCCTACCCGCCCGTTCAGGTCATCCGGGCCCGAGTGTCCTCCAGCAGCTCCTCCGAGGTCTCCTCCATCAACTCGGACCTCGAGGTAGGTGGCCGCTGTCGGGCGGGCGCGTGCATGGTGTCCTCGCTTGCCCCCTGTGCTTGCTCGGCCCGCGGTGCTGTGCCGGCCCCGGGCGGCGGCCCTGCAGGAGGGAGGCTGTATCTGCCCGCAGGTCTGCGCTAGCTCGGGACCACAGTATTCCACGGTCATTTCCGGCCGGGAGACACCTCGCTGTGGCGCCTGGGCTTGAAGATAACCATGCACATTCCAGCCCTGCCGAAAGAAATGAGGGAACAAAACAAAACACATCTCAATGCCTCCCGCATCGATTTGACGATGGAAACTGCTCTCCCTGTTAGTTCCCAAAGGCTGCTGTAAGAAGGTGCCATCTTTCAACTCCGTGGCTTTAAACCACAGGATTTGTTATCTCCCAGTTCTGGAGGTTCAGCATCCTAAACCAAGGTCATGGGCAGCTCGGAGGGGAGAGCCCGTGGGAGCCGTGCTGTGCCTCTCCTGGTTCCTGGAGGTTCCCTGCAAGCCTTGGCTTGTGGTCGCAGCCTTCCAGTCTCTGACTCTATTGCCAAGTGGGGTTCTCCCAGTGTCCTCTTAGAAGGACACCACTCATATTGGATTAGTCCTCCCCCTCCCCATTAAACTTAACTAATTGACATCTACAAAGACCCTCTTTCCAATTAAGAGTACATCCCAGGTACTGGGGGCTAGCGCTTTGACTTGTCTATTGGAGGGATACAATTCCTTCCATGTGCCCCGCCCACCCTGATGCGTGTGAGCTCTACCTCGTTGCACCAGAGGGCTTGTACCTGAGAGGTAAATTGAGGCACAGGATCAGTGAAAGGTAAACTGAGGCACAGGGAGACGGACAAAGATAACTGAAAGGACAAAGAGAAACGGAAATAGCTTTATTAGAGGGGAGCTCCGGGGCGAAGCCCATGGTCTCACAAGTAGCCAGGGGAATCTCGGCTTTGTCTGGGGCCGGAGTTTTTAAAGGAAAGCGGGGAGAGAGGGTCCGTGCTGCAGCAGCAAGGTTTATGGCCCAGGATGTAGTTGATCAGCTCTGGCAGGCAGGTTCTCGGAGTCAGGCATTCCAGGCCTTGTTCCAGGGGCAGCTGCTGACCTCTGGGGACGTGCAGGGAAGCAGGGGCCCTGACCTGCTTCAGCTCAGTCCAGTCAGTACATTGGTGGGCTTTGAGTGGACACCAGGATGCCTCCTGCATTAACCTCACCTCCCTTTGTAGTTTCGAACCTGTGAACAAAACAGTCTGCCTTTCAGGTGCCACAGATGGGCCTGAGCTAGCCTGTCTCTCTTGGTTCCCCGCTGGGGCACCCAGTTGTATTCTCTGTTCCGTGAAGAAGTGTCCTTTGGCTGTGGCGAGGAGGGGTGAACACTGGTATGTCAGCAGCAGGAGGTAGCTGCCCTTTGGGAAGAGGAAGAACTGCCCTGCCTTCGGGCTGTGTCTCTCCCAGTTGTTTGGTGTGAAATGATGGTTGTGTGAGATTTCTCAGTGGGTCACACACCTCGGTTCTTGGCTTCGCATGCGAAAGAATTCTCTCCAAAGCCTGGTTTGTGATCCCAGTGAGTGTTTATGAAGGACAGGAGAAGTTTCAGGTTTTACCCTCTCAAAAGAGCACACGCTATTTCAGGGAAGTGTTTCAAACTGTGTGGTAGTGGCGCGGAAGTTCACAACTGGACACGAGCCACCTCGTAGAACAGCGCACCACACGTGCGGAACTGAGGCAGGAGATCGCGCGGCACAGCGTGAGGGGCCGCAGGAGCCGGGTAAAAAGAGTGAGAAGAGAGGGTCCCCTTCAATCTTCCGCTGACTAAGGGCAAGGTAAAAAGAGGCCGGCCTTCCCAAAGCCAGGGTATTTCAAACCTCTGGCTGGAGAGGCTGAAGGTATTGATTGACCCCATTGGCTGTATTAAGCCTACCTAGGTAGGGTCATGAGCCTGGGCCTGGTTTAGGCTGCGCAGGTGTACCGCCCACCTGGCTTGAGGCCTGAATTTGAGCATGCCCAGTTCAGGGGTGGGTGGGTGTCTAATGCTCACCTGATTCCCTTCTAACCTCCTCTAGGGACCTGTACCTGTACAGGCATGGGAGGGACCCCCCCCCCTAGTCTCCAGCTCCCTAACAGTAGTAGCAAATGATGGTGGGTATTGAGTTTAGGGGGTTGTCTTAATGGCATTATTTGGCAAAAATAAACAATTGGATCCTTAGCAAGCCTCCCAGCTTCACCGAACTCTTCTACTGCACTCTGAAATCCGAAGGCCCAAAGGCCACCGATGTGTGTGTGTGTGTGTGTGTGTGTGTGTGTGTGTGTGTGTGTGTGTGTGTGTGTAGGGCGGGGGGCATCTAGATTCATCCCTGTGGGGTCCTGCCTTCACCTTGTGCACTTGCCCTACCCTGGCCTACACTGTTACCCCTCCCCAGGCCCGGGGTGCTCACCTCCAGGGGCTTCGCCGGGCCAGGCTCTGCATGAGTGCTTTAGGAATACATCTTCATCTGACTCTGCCGACGCCACCGTGGTTCCCTCGAACTCTCTTTTGAGCCAGACCGAGACCCGAGTGGGAGGGGTCAGCCTTGTATCGTGGAGCCTTTGACCCAGTTTCAGAATTTGTAGGACAGACAGGGAGCCAGGCATCTTGGCAGAGATCCAGCCGAGGAGGGGGTGGGGTGAGCGTGCCAGCAGAGAGCGGGGACAGTGACGTCTGGGGGCGGGATTGCTGCACAGGCAGGCAGAGAATCCACTGGGGCAGCAGGGCTGCTTCTGCCCTCACGCTTCTCAGCGGTAAGGATCGGCCGGTGAACCTGAAGCATTCATTTGAAACGTGTCTCCACCTGCTACCGGCCGTGTCTCCACTTTGTGGTCTTTCTCCTTCCCCTTTCCGGCCCTTTCCTGCCTTCTTTTTGATTCTCGGGACGCGCTGTGCTTCTGGTCTCAGACGACTGGCTGTCCAGAGAAGTGTGGTCCTTCCAGGTGTAAATTGTTCACTTCTGAGCTCTGTGGAGGAGGTTGTGGCCCATTCAGTCATTCTAAATGCCCACTCTCTGCACCAAAGGAGCGGGAGCAGGCAGGCAGTCCCTCCACCCAGCACTGCCTCTCACTCTCCTCACCTGGCGGGGCAATGGGCCAGGGCTGTGCGTGTAAGGAGAGACTTTGAGAACCGGCAAAGGACCCAAGACTTGTTTCATAGAAGGCCTAAAGATTGCTGCGCCTGTTAAAGTTTCATTTTTCTTTGCGTTTCTGGAACTCAAGAAAATATTGAGTCTCACTATGTGATGAGCAGGTGCTTAGTCCTTTGTTCCTTCCCAGTCCTTTGAGCTTCCCAGCAGTGTTGTCTGTAGTCCTGGTGACAAATCGGCACGGTGCAGGGCGGCCCTGACTGTGGCTGGTGCAGGGGGCCCTGTGCATGAGGGGGTGGGGGATGGGGGAAATGTGAGGTGGAGAGACACAAGAACAAAGGCAAAGCCCAGACCACTCTGTATGAAGAGGGTCCAGCCCCAGGCCCACATGTCCCTGCTCCTTTTGTGCCTTCCAAAAAACCAAACTCACTGTGTGAGTCTGGGTGGACTAGAGAAACAAATTCATAGACACTCATGTGTGTAAGAAAGAGCTTTACATACAAGAGTAGTTGAGTATTGAGAAAACATCCCAGCCCAGTCC